TTCTTGCTATAGAAAAAAATCAGAATTAATTACCAGTTGTGATACAATACATTGATTAATTTTTGCAGCATAGATATTTAGAATTACTACTTTTCCTGTTAAATTTTGAACAGGAATATCTTTACAATTGTTTGAACTATCCAAAATTACTGTTTCTCCTTGATTAATATTAAAAGGTCTAGCACTACTTGAAATATAATCTATATTAAAGAAACAACACATGAATTAGTATAATATCATTTTCAAATCATATTATTTAAAACATAATTTTTTTACCAATTATAAATGAAGAATCTTTAATATCAGTTGCCCGGTAAACGAGAAAATTTTTAGCATCCATTGATGCAACAGAAATGGTGCCATAACCAATTGCAGGTATACCAGAATCCCAGATACCACGAATTCCTTCATTACCATTGGCAGCTATAACATTGATTCCTCGATTTGCAATTGAATCTGCCAAAACAGACATTGAAGTTTCTGCCCATCCTTCACCTCCCTAATAATAAGCAAATAATTTGTTAAATGACAAAATCAATAAATATTTACATTTATTTATAAGATAAACAAGTAAACTTACTAAAGATAAATTTATTATGTCCATTTGATCAGTTGCAGCTGCTTCTAATGCAGCCATTATATTGTCAGCACTCCCTGAACCCACACAATTCAAGGCTCTATAAACACCAAAAGTGACATTAGGAGCAACTCCCATAAATCCAGTTACTAGACTGTCATTAGCACCTATCAAACCAGCAACATGTGTACCATGACCATTACAAATATCAAGTGGATCACTAGCATTAAGGTTGGTTAAATCTAAAACAAAATTATGTCCATATGCCACTCTACATCCTGTTCCAAAACAGCCGCCAAGTGCTGGATGCCTGTAATCAATTCCTAAACAAAATCATAATTATTAATTATTTTTTTTTTTAAAAAATAAAAATTTTTTTTTTTTTTTTTACCTGAATCAACAATTCCAACTTTAATCCCAGTTCCAAAACTCAAAAACTCATTTTGTACACGATCAACACCAGTGACTTTATGTATCTCATTTATATTATTATTAGGAGCAAATTGGATTGTGTCATTGGTAATGTAATCACGTTTTTCAAGTTCATCATCATCAACATAACCAGGCGCGGGTGTTAGATTAAGATTCTATGCAAA